CTGAAATTGTCTCAGTCGGACCAGCTAAAGAACCTGAAAAGCCTAAGGAACAGCCCAAGGTAGTGTCTGAATATTCGAAGGCCTACCAAGAATACTACAAGCAGCAGCATTATGACTATTGTTATGCACCTTCTATGCTGTATGTACAACCTGCTGAGCCCACTTATTATGTTCGAAGTGTGGAGGAGAATCCAAATGCTTGTGTTATTTGCTGAGATTCAGAATTCGGTTTTAGTAAAGTGGATTGTACGGTGTGGATGGTTTAAGCTAAAATATTGTCTATGATACTGTCCGATCATATCCACACCTATGCTCGAAACATACTCTATATGTTTCACAGTGGATATTGATGATTGGTCCATCTGTTTTCTAGTAGTTTAACTAGCGTAGGGCTTCAATGTCTGTGTAGTGATTGCTTTATTAATTTGCTATTGATTAGTCCCATTTAAGAAAGATTAATAAAGCTGCTGCTTTTTCTACAAGAACAATTTTACTACCGCAACAAAAGTTGGCACAGATTGAAGATAAATATAAAGAAAGACGACTCAGGTGGTTAGACACGTTTTGCCTAGATCTAAAGAGGTTACAGTTCATAAGATTGACATGACATTAGTAAAAAAAAAAGTTAGAAGAGGGAGGGGAGGGATAAACTAAATCGAACTTGTTGTGTCGTCTTTGTCAAGAATCTAATTGCTCTAAATATTCTAGTAGATCTAGAAATAAAAGGAACGAAGTAAAAATAAATAAAAATATTCATGCAATAAACCCCGAACTAACTTCGAACAAGAACAATTTGAAATATGTACCGGTTCTGATTTCTGCAGGAACTCTTGGAGCAAGAAACAGAATCTTGATTTTAATAGTGAAACTGTCTGAAAATTGCTTACAATTATGAAATGCAAGTTTTAATTTTTTATTCAAAATGGAATTTTTTTCACGCATAGATTCTTCCTCAGACTTGGTTATGAACCACCAGGCATTCTCAGCTTCTCGTACGACTTCCTCGAGACCTGCATGAGATTCATATCATAATTCGGTAGTCGAAAAGCAATAATCTTTATTAAGAAGCATTCATGATAATAATTTTGTTCATATATGAAACTTTCAAAGAATAATTTACGTAGCCAAGTTAGGGGTGTCAACGAGTAGAGCTGCGAGCCAAAATTTTTTGCATGGGCTCGGCTCGTGCAAAAATACTTAGAGCTTTTTCTTGCCCGAGTTGAACCAAGTAAAAGCTCGGTCAAAAAATTTAGGCTCAACCCGAGCTTTCGACTTGAGCATTAGTGAGCTGAGCCGGCTCGAATTTTTTTTAATTCGTGACAAATCTAATTTTTTTTTAAATAATTTAAAATTTGTGTAAATTATACATATTATGAATAATAACTAAATATTAACATATAAAAAAATTTATAACTAAAATTAAAATAAAAAATAAAAAAAAAGTGACAGACAAGTTTTTTTTTTTAATAGGCTCACGGGCACACGGGCTTGAGCAGACGCCCCAAATGGGGCCCGGCCTGGCTCGGGCTTTTTTCGGACCGAGCCCGAACGGACGAGTCATTTTGCCATCTCTAAGCCAAGTATGAATTTATTAGGAATAAGACTTAAAAGGCTTGTCTGTCAAATATATATATATATATATTTTTAAAAAAATCATATTTCGCTAGCATCATTTCCAACCACACATTCTCCAAACAAGCTTTTA